TGTGTGTATTCGGACCTCTGGCCTACATGACTATTGGTCAGTGGTTTTTTTTTTCTATGGGAACGCCTGTTTTCATCCACCAACCCAACCTCGAACATTCCAAAATGACCCTGTCTATTAATAAGACGTTAAGTAACAATTAACAAAACAGACATATTCCTTAAACCTACAAACTTATCAAAATCGTTACATTCTCAACTGTTAACTGTTTCTCTAGTGTGAGTATTGGTGTGGTTGTTTTGTTTGGTAAGTGAATACAGCAATGTTTACACATACTCTAAATTTTTTCGTCAGCAAATAGGTCAGCATCGTTTATTGACAGAACGTATGTCTTACTCTGTACTGAAATACTTTCTGTTTATTTGTGATATGGAGGAGCGCGATACTTCTTAGTAGACTGGTCAATACGCTTATTATTCTAAACGTCTCGATCATCAAAGACAGGGAATACCTAATATGGATGTTTAGTAAAGAATTCTGCCGAATTTTCCTTGTGATTTGTCGAGGAATCTTTTTTATTATTGACAAACACAAGATATAAAGTTTTATCTAATATTTTACATGCGATGTTTTTTTTTTAATTGCGATTGTAATTTTATTTCGTTTTAACGTCACTTGTTGATTCGTTTGTTGGGACCAAAGTTGTGACAGTTCGGATGTGCTCTGTTTGTTTTGTTAGCGTGACATTAATATGACGTTATAGTAACTTTCCACCATCATGTATTGATCTGGTAGACTAGTCGATGAGTTTAATCATATTCGTAGCCAGCTCTAATGGGTGTTCCGCTCGAGATGCTGTCTACACGTTCCATTAATGTACCAGTTACGCTTGGCTTCTCGATATTGTTAGATCAAACATCACATACATCGTAAGCATGGCGTTTTAGAATATATAATTTCAGTGACGCACTTATATCAGAGAAATCTAATGTAATCATGCTTCCCGAAGGAGTTAATAGTGAGTAATGAAATACTTTTCGCTATATATATAGCTTTGTGAACGATCAGGAAAATTCTGATGCAGGGCATCCTGGTAAATACCCGTAACTATCTCACTGAATAGTAACGATATGATGGAACACTTACGGAAAACCAGTCCACGGTATTTTTATAAAAAATTCTCAACTACAAAATCCAATGTTTCAAATGTGTCGTTGGATGACTTTTTTAATCACTTCAAGGATTTAGCCATGAATCTTGACCCGCCGGATAATGAACGTTTAGAGAATAATGTTGATATGAACACCGTCTTTGATGAGCTTGACCGTAGTATATCTAGGGACGAAATTAAAAGCGCTATTAAGCATCTAAAACGTGAAAAAGCGCATGGTTTAGACGGTTTATTAAACGAATATTTTATTGAAGCTGGTGACATTTTACTACAAGCCTTACACACTATTTTTAATAATGTATTTAACTCTGGATGTTTCCCTGAAGAATGGTCTAAAGCGGTGATGGTCCCGGTGTTTTAAAATGGTGATAAAAACGATCCTAATAATTATCGTGGAATAAGTCTCCTGAGCTGTATGGCGAAACTTTTTACATCTGTACTGAACAAAAGACTAGTAGACTGGTCGGAGGCGAATGACATTATCACAGATGCACAGTTTGGCTTTCGTCCTGGAACAAGTACGGTTGACGCCATAAGCGTTCGACTCTGTCGATCGTTGTAAATTGTGGTATAAATTGTCAAAATTAGGAGTTCGAGGAAGGCTGTTATCAATTTTGAAAGCTATGTATAAAAAAGTTAAGACATGTGTCTCATCTATGGGGGGAAATTTTATCCCCAATTATGTTTTCAATGTATTTAAATGATTTTGAAAATGACTTTATTGCTAACGGCATTAGGCCGTATGATTTTGGAGAACTCAGTCTCTTTTTATTAATGTATGCGGATGATTTGGTGCTACTTGCAGAATCAGCCAATGAGCTACAGAATATGTTAATTAGTTTGTCTATATATGCGAATTCATGGAAATTGACCGTTAACACGGCAAAAACTAAGATTGTTGTCTTTAGAAATGGAGGCCGCTTACGTAATTACGAGGAATGGTTCTTCGATGGAAACAAATTAGAAGTCGTTGAACAGTTTACTTATTTAGGTATCGTTTTTAAATGGAACAATAAATTTAATGTTTTACAAAAGCAATTTTCCGGGCAAGGTCGAAAGTCAGTATTTGCCTTATATACAAAATGTAAAAATTTGAATTTAAACTGCCATACCTTGATTAAACTTTTTGATACATATGTTAACAGTATACTGTGTTACGCATCTGAGGTATGGGGCTCGTGCAAAGGCATAGATATTGAGAAAGTTCACCTGGAATTTTGCAAAAGGATATTATGTGTTAAGAAGTCAACATGCAATGCAATGATCTATTTTGAATTGGGTAGATTTCCAATTGTACATACCAGAAATTATAATTTAATTGAATACTGGTTCAAGCTTTTAAATACTAAGAACTGTGTTCTTAAAACTGCTTATGATGAACTCATGTATATGCCACAGCGAAATACTGTTTTTAACTGAGTAACTTTTGTGAAAGACAAACTTTTTTTACTCGGTCTTGGCGAAGTGTGGTTGAATCAACACAATGTGAACCCGTCTGTTGCCCTGCCAATTGTTAAACAGAGAATCTTTGATAATGCACGGCAAGAATTGTTTGAAATATTAGAGAATTCCTCGAAATGTTTTTTGTATAGACATTTAGTTGATAATTTAACATTGCAACAATATTTATGTAAATATATACCAAAGCGAAATAGAATTGCTCTAGCCAGATTACGTTTATCAGCGCATATGCTGTATAGTGAAACCGGGAGATACCGAAACATTGTTAGAAATGAACGTATATGCAGAATTTGTAATTCTGAAGATATTGAAGACGAATATCATTTTTTGTTTATTTGTCCATTTTATCAAGCTTTAAGAGAGAGACGTATAAAATTGTATTACTGGAAAAAACCATAAGTTTTCAAGCTGATACAATTATTGAGTACAACGAACTTTAAAGAATTAACTATGTTAAGTAAATATATATATGATGCCACCCAGTTGAGGAATAGCATGATATAATGTTAAAATATATGTAACTACATGCATTTTCTGTCCATTCTCCACTGCGGTATTGCATTGCCTCCCACTGTATTTATATGTATTGTGTACATACTGATGAGTTGTAAAGCTCAAAGTCAATAAATGAATTTGAATTTGAAATTTGATAGACCTGCCGTATACCACCAAGAATAATTAAGAAAACTTGCTGTAGGACACAAAGGATTCGAACCACACAACTGGATTTTCACCTGAGGGTGACTTCATTAATTCGCTTCTCCGCCAACGGAACTATGAAGGATCTGCATTCTTACAAACTTAGATCGATAAAGAAATTACGCACTTAGAATGAAACCCTGATATCACAAGTGCATGTTGTATATTTGTGCATTTACAGACTCTTTATCGTAGTGTCCTTTGCATGTTTAACTTAAATATTTACACACATTACCAAACTCAAACAACCTGCCTCTTACAAATACGTGCACATGTATATCGGAGCATGAGTAATGCTGTTTACATAGTAGAATTCGCTATCACAAATTACGCAAAATGTCAGAATTGTTCAACTGTAAATAATGATAGAAGAGAGGAGAAAAACGGTTATTATGTAATTTGTATGGAGAAAGTGAAATATATTCAAAACATTATAAAAGGGATATACACATTCCATTCTGTAAATTATGTACAGCTCCCTACACAGAAAATATTCATACTCTTACGTACCACAAGGGAGAGTTAAGTGATGTTTGTATTTTTGTAATAATGTCTCTTAAAGTCAGGTTCGATTTCCTTTGAAAAGACACAAATAGTCTGGCATGAGACGTTGCAAGTTAGAAATAATGCATTTTTCTATATTATTTGCTTATGGAATTTTAGTCCATGAGGTTTAATACAAACTGCATATTACTTGTTAACTAATTTGAATAGTATGTCCATTTTTTTTCTTAAATTACTTAATATTGAAATTTATGAAATTGATTTCTGTTTAATGCATCTCCCCATTTTCTTGTAGTTTTTTTCGATTCATGTCCCTAGTCGTCTCCTAGGTTACAACACTGACGAGTCCTGGAAGGACGAAAGAGTTGAATAATGCAGTGTACTTAATCATATAACACTGATGTATCCGATTTTAAATTTGTATTGAACTGTGCTATACCTTTTTGCTCATTTTGTACAATCCTCACTTGAAGCAAATCCCACCCTTTATGTTGTTATAGTTGTGAGCGTAGATCTATAGGACTTTTCACTTTCACGTGTAGTCGTGTTAAAACAAGTGCTAACATTTATCAAATTTGAATGGGAACACTTTAAGAAGTCTTTCATATGTTTAAGTTTAGTGGGTATGAAAACATTAATAAGAAAAAAACCACCTTTTTTGACAAATCTTTCTTGATTTTAATTTGATTTCGCTGATTTAATTAGTAAGTTAATTTGGCCCCAACTGTGAATATTACATTGTTTAACTCTCAATCCAATTTTTCAATGTGTGCTTCTTTTTATTGTGTTAGTATTCCTTCAATCTGATTATTATAATCAAAATAAATAATTGATTCCTATTTCTCGGTTAATGATCTCTATTTGTGATATTCATTTTGTGTTCGCGTTCTGTGTAAAGAATGTGTATAGCTTTGTCCCACAGAAATGTTTGACGTTTTATATACCGTATCGAATATTGAAATTTTATTCTGTGATAGAGTGTTATTATGTCCGATATTCCTGTTAAATAGTATAGAGTGTAGGTCAGTCTCATACGCTTCCACTCTCTACGAACGCCAGATTTTTATTTTCGTTTAGTGGTATTTTGTTTTGTACATGATACAAAATACTAAATGTATGATTATGATCAATTTTAAACGTAATGCAATAATCGGTTGGTATTTTGTGATGTTCATTTTTCTCCTTTTCAGATTATCAATAAAGGTACTAAGAGAATGTAACAACAATGTCCTCCACGGCTATTTACGAAATTTCCGTAAAAACAGGAGACAAGAAAAACGCAGGGACGGATGCAAATGTCGAGATCTGTCTTCATTGTGACGATGGAAGCAAAACTGCTACATACAATCTTGATAAATTCTTTAGGAACGACTTCGAAAGAGGGCAAAAAGATTCGTTCTCTGTGACGGGCATTAGTCTTGCCAGAGTGGACTACATAGAGATATGGCGAGACACGAAAGGCATCTTGGACGACTGGTATGTCGATGTGATTGAAGTTATTTGTTCAAAAAAAGTCTTCATATTTCCCTTCTTCAGGTGGATCAAAGCAAATTATCATTATAAGGTTCGGCATCTTGATACGTCACTTCCAGCTGATGACCCTTTTAAGGAACAGAGACGGATGGAAATAAATGACGCAAGACAGGAGTACCAACTGACAGTTAAGGAACCCGGGTTTCCGGCACAGGTATTAATTATAAAACCTGCTGATTGAAGTAATGGATGCGGATGGCTCCTCTTCAAATAAGTATTTTCGGACAAATTGTGATAAAGGTTTTTTCATGTGTGAGCGCCACCCTTTTATTTTTTTAATTGTTTCAAAATATAAGTTTTAAAAACAATGCAAAAAATAATATATTGATAATCAAAGGTGTCTTCCTCTCCTCTCACATGTTTTCGGTGACCAAATATCAGAGTATCTGCCGTTTGTATAACAATGTTTATAACTTATTACACATTACAACAAACGACCTGTTTAGTTAGAATCACGTGTAGTAGAAATTCCGATGATACCTCCTGACTTTTTCCTGTTACCAATTAAACTTCAATTCTAATTTTAATATGTGTTTTTAAAGATTTGTCATTAACATCAAACGTTTGATTAAGGTTTCTTCCGATTGTTGTTTTTTTTTCATTTCTATAGGTGAAGTCCTTACCAGAAGATGAACAATTTTCGTTCGACTATGTGGTAAGATCCTTTCATCAGCCATTTCATATCAGACAGAAAATTTCGTTAAACGTAACGTTTATTACTGAATAGACGAATTAATTTGTGTAATAAGATTTGTGATAATGTTTTATGTTAAATATGACAAAAATAGTATACTTACAAACAATGACTACGAGGGCCTGCTTTTCAGGTCTTTTACGCTTCGGAAGTTATTCATTAATTTTTCTTTGTTACGAAACATCGACAATATATGTTGTGTTTGTCATAATCCAAATATAAATTCAAGATCAAAATGAAATATTATTTAATTATTATTAATATTCGAACATTTTCTGTTATAGTGGGACATCAGTAAAAGGAAAGCACATGCTATCTTTCTAAGCAAGATCGTTAAACTCACAAGTGGCAACTGGAAAGACATCGATGATCTGAAGAACATCTACACAAAGGAAGTGTTTGTTCTTCCTGAAGTAGGTTGACACAGCTTCATGCTTTCATTTTCTGTTCACAAAAATCGAAATCACTTCATTATTCCATTTTTTAGTATATAAAATTTAAGTAACATATAAAAAAGTGACATCCATAATGCCTTACTTAACCAGTTTGTTTCAATACCTGTTTTGTATTGTTGTTAAATTGTAGCATAACCTTTCAGTTCATCCTGCTAATCCTTTCCCTGTGCTTTCCATATCAATTGTGCCAAGACAGCATTTAAACATCTTAATGGTCATTGCACGAACCTGACGAACTGATATTTCATTTGATACAAATATAGGATTACATTTACACAGAAGAATTATTTTGTGGCTTAAATATTTAAAAGATATTTTCAATGACTACTATTTACAACATAAAATGGAAAGATGTCAGCCTCCTGCAACAACAACCGCCCTTCACGCAAGGATCTAATTCTGGAAAATCTTTTTCTGGCGATTGTTAGGAATGCCGTGGCAGCTAGAGCTATCAATACAAACAAAGGAAAACTCTCTTGTACCGGCTAAACTCAATTGTTTTATAAAAGATTACTCTGGTAAAGGGGTAATATCTTTTTCATTATTGCTACATAATAAATCTTTTAATTTTTGGCTTTTAAGCTTAACATGTGATATTGTATTGTAAGAAATATGTTATTTACGGTAGAACATAAAATTGCAAAATTCTTCAATTATAGACCCAGACAGCAAAGTATAAAATCTGTTTGTTTCGCATGAGAGTATGGATTTCAACGCTTTTTGCCGTAAACATAACATGGAACCTATTTGATAACAGATGTATTATATCAGCACGATATATCAAGCAAGCTGTAGATTGCATAATGATATAAAACTACATTAAACTAATATATTAATGATATATTAAAGTAATCATAACGGCAGTAGAAATGAAAACAAAACAGCCTTTAACATTCCTGTAGGGTTAGAAACTGCCAGTCCATTGCATTTCATTTGAAGTTGTTCACTTATGAAAGATTGTACAAAAGACACAGAAGTGAATAGCACCTTTTGATTATTTAGAGTTAGATACAGTAGATCCAAACAACGATTTTAACTGCATCATACAGCTGTTTCATCCTTTTCGAAATCGTTAGTGATACTAAGTAACTAAGTATTGAAGCTATTTCCGGTCGTTCAGTCAGCAACGTATATTAGGTGTAAAATGTTGGTATCAATGAAGGTGTTTTAAAATCGAAATGAAAGAATTATACAGTGAAATCTCATACACACTTACCCACACACATAATGAAAAATCATTCATAGTATATGTGACCATAAAGAATACATTTGTGCACTGTTGTATTCTGTCGTCAGAGTGTGGCACTTTGGACAAATGATGAATATTTTGGTTATCAAAGGATTGCCAAGATGAACAACACCGTCATAGAGTTGTGTACTGCCGTTCCCAAAAAGTGAGTCATTCGAATATCAGACAGCAAAATCAAACTTAAGTGAACTTAAATATTGATCACCTTACATTTAAGTTAAAACAAACACTTTTAAAAATTGGACAACCGAAGCTACAATTAGTGCGCATTTCTCTATTTCGTATTCTTTTATTAGGAAAAAAACTTATTCTAGCTGTACAGATCATAAAGGATTCAGTTTATTAACTATTAATTTCTGATATAATGTCTATCCTGACCATTAATATCAATTTCCTAATATGCGGAGTTTGATCTGACATATTATAGACTTTGTCAAAAATATCTTCTATCAAGAATGCATCGAGGTATTATGTAATACATTGTCCTTTCTGCAAGTTATCTATCAAATAGCAACGTGTACAATGCCGGGTAATTGAAAATCTGTTTGATCGATAAAAATGATAAAGGTGTTTATTTGCTTCAGATATGATTCTTTATTGCATCGGTCTCAATGCCATTACAAAGATTAACATTCACGTTACAGAATGGCTGTTACTGATGCTATGGTCAAACAAAGCTTGGAGGGAGTCACACTAGCTGAAGCTATACAAGCCAAACGTTTGTTCATCGTAGATTACGAAATCCTTGATGGCGTCCCTTGCGGAAGAGACGAAAGTGTGGTAAACCAACTCTATTTTGCGTATTTGTTAAGTTTTTGTTAACAGAAGTAGTACGTGTTAGCTTTTTTAAATGGCTGTTTGAATAGTATTGTGTTTCCTGTTATGGGAGAATATGTCCTATTCATATGTAAATATCACGATGCAAAGCCCAACTTCAAGATTCGATTTCCTGTGAAAACGTTTAACGTATATGTTAACCTTATACATGTGTTTTGTATGGATTCTTTCCTGTTCGATGGTAACTAGAACCACACATGATATGCATTATGCCTTAGCTATTGATCTTAAAAGGGATCATCAGCCTGACTGCATTTGAATTGTTTCCTGGCAACAGTATGTTGAAGAGACACAGTAGGTTGGTTAATAAAAACACTGAGTATTAAGAGATTTCGAAAATGGTGCCTTATCTTTAGCAGCGAATTCATGTATCAACGAACGGTCAAAATCAGTAAAAATGGATTTATTGCTCTATTTTTATCCATAAAATAAAACGAAATTGCGTTGATTTGGTAACCGTAGAAAATTGAGTTTGACGAAAAAATACCATTTTACAGTTGTCTCCGAAAGCTCAATGACTTCCACCTCCATCCCAGATTTAAAAACAAACTTTGGGACGGATATTTGACAATGATAATGAGATGAGTGCCACCATGGACACATGATAAGGGGATCAAGATATTGACTTCTAACGATCGGGTATCAATGACCGGCAAACTAGGTTGACCAATTCATGCCGATTCATAAAGGACCTTTAGGAGAACAATATTTAATCAAAATATCTTGCTCTCTCTGTGCGAATTTCAAAACGTTTTGCTATCTCCTCGAACATTTACATGATTTGTTAAATTCGTGCCGTTGACCATTGTACTAGGTAATATAATTTTCTTTGAGGAATCGAATCAACTGCATTAGGGGATTTCAAACTTATCACTGTCGTCAATACCTGTCATAAAATGGGAGGGACTACGCCCTGGTTGTACGGATGTATGCATCACTCGAAGTATGATTCGTGTATTTGCACTTTGGTTTTAGTGGGTTTGACTTTCTCTTCCTAATTTGAATGAAGATGTTGAGTTCACGATCTGCCATTCATTTTTATTTCACCACAGATATGTGCTCCAGTAGCCCTTTTTTTCGTGAATGGAAAACGGAAGTTAATGCCAATCGCTATACAACTTTTTCAAAGTCCAGGGAAAGACAATCCTGTAAGTACTCACAAGTGCACACTTTCGCAGTAATAGAACGCATTGCCATTCAACTATTTAAGTGCATTAAGAAATATTTTCGTATTTGCATAATTTTTTCAAGAAGAGGAGGAATGTTGCTTGTACATAGTGTCACTCAGCTGACGGTGCGTGCGTTAACGGCTCAGTTGATAGTTTATTATCACGCCTAGTTTCCATTGCTGTCGACGCGTTTGACAGGAATGTGTTTTTATACTCATTCAGAAAACCTGGTATCATTATTCTCTTATTCATTTTTTTTATTTCGTTTAATATTCAATGCCCAAGTTTTAATGACTTTGAGTTTGAATTGTGATTCCAATCTCATGTTGTTGTTTCTCTCGCGTCCTATAATTGGATAATTTTATATATGTACGAAGTTAGATAATTGTTCTGTCAATAACGTATATACGCTAAAACTGAACCTCGTCTTATAGAACACGTGAACACCATACTTTCAATAATATTAACATGCATAACATGACAAACTCTTCTCAAAATACGTTTGAATCATCAGACATTTCATGTTATTAAGTCTAATTCAAAACAACACTTCTCAAGAGCAATTTAATCTTATTTTTCGTACATTTTGTAATTTTATATGATAAACATATCCAGCCGTTTTAGTTAGATAATATTCATTATCTTGTAGGTTTTCCTTCCCACGGATCCCGAATACACTTGGATCACAGCCAAACTATGGTTCAATCATGCTGACAGCACATATCACCAATCCTTCACCCATTTAGGTAATTGTGAATGAACACTTTTCTTCTAATAGTATCCCTAATAAAAACAAATTTGTTTGGTTTTAGTTTTTTGATCTGATCTATTTCATTTGGTTTTAGAAAAAAACATTGACATGCAGATAGGAATGAGTATACTACGAATTGCAAGATAAACATTTGAACTGCTTGAAATGACCTTTCTGTCCTTATGTAATATCAATTGAAAAGGCTGAAGATCAAACCACTTATATATTTGATACAGTATGAGTATACCAATATGTCCTTCACAACAGCTTTTCATGCTGGGTTCTGAATATTGTGAAATCCGTTAATTGAAATGTAAATTTCAAGATACTTATGAATGTTGTTGAAAAAAAAGTCAGAAAATGGGCGAAACGAAAAATGCGGCTTTGGATTAATTTTTGAAGTGGGTTAAGTCAAATTCGGTCCACCTTATTAAAAGAATTTGCAGTTTGAAATCAAAAACGAAAACAAATCACTGGTCAGCTTTCCTCGATCCTGATGTTAAATCCACATTGCATGGTATGCTATTATGCCTGATCCCTGTCTGCGATCATTATTACATTTCCTGTATACAAAAAGATTAGGGCTTGCTTGATAACGACGGAAACCCCTCTGATACATATGCAATCTTTCAAAAATCGAAATATTAGTTAATCCTGCTTCGTTATTGTAATCATTATATTGCTTATCAATTATAAGGATACGGACCTCCCCCTTTTATACTGGATCTCTAAACTCTACGAGAATCCATACCAACAACGATTTATAGCTGGTTCATCTAAATGTTCAACCAAGACTTTGTCTAAACTACCATTCTAAGTACTATCAAATATGGGTTACAGTCTTATTGTGATCTTCAACACTCTTTTCTAAAAATTGTTTCTTCTGCAATTATATCTGATTTTTCAACCCTGTACGCCACCATACCCCATTCTAAACTGAAGGAACACCTTCGTTTTCTTGTAAGAGAGCTTTCGTCTCAAAGGAAGGTGAGCGGTGGTATTAATATATGGTTGTGAATTATACTGAAGAAATATACGGAGGACGAAATCATAAATATGCTTGAGTTTCTGCTTGACAACATCTTCGTCGAATTTGGTAGTAAGATGCTCGTAAGTTTGCCTATTGGTTTCGTTGTTGTATACCTTGTTCTCATTTGAGAACTTGACATTACTTACATAGATTGACCAAGGTTTAAATGGCGGGTTTCGTCGATGAAGCAGAATACGCTTATTCTTCTGGAACACCTGGTTTTATTTCCCTTGTCCTTTTTTGCAGGAATCTTCACGTTTTTTGTTTTTGTTTTTGTCGTAGTTTTATGGAATTTGAGTTTGAATTATGATTATGTTGCCATGTTGGTATTTAATTTGTGTTTTTCGTATGACAATCCTTTCACGATTACCCAGAATCTTACAGCGTCCTAAGAGAGTTGTTTATTATGTTTCAACAGTGAGAAAAATCATATAACCAAAATGCAATAGCTAAATATGTTGTTTATCTTATTCCTGCTTCTCCTACTGGCTTGGGTCTTAGCTCTGGCCAAACAGTGTAATTGGTTAATATTTAAGATATTTAAGTGATGTAGACCTTAAGGATCTGTAACAGTAAGTCTCAAAAATATATTTATTATCTAAACTTTTCGTGTGTAAGCTGTGTTAGTTAACACAGGTTAATTAATATTTGTACTTTACAGGAGGAACACACTTGATGATGGAAGGTGTGGCTGTTGTCACACACAGGAATCTGTCTCCCTCACATCCGATTTTCAAACTACTCGCACCTCACTTTCTGTTCCTGTTAGCTCTGAATACGTAAGTGTGTTGGTTTTAGTATTTACACAATACATACTTCGTCTTCTTCATACAATTGAAGTGAAGGAGGCACCCACGCTTTTGCTTTTTGTTACTAACGTACTGTAGGAACGATACGACAAAGGAATACAAATGAAAAGTTGAGAAGATACATTTAAAATATAAAACCATTCTCTGGTTATATTTCATTTCATTTTTCCCTGGCTCACAACAAAAAACAAATCGAATGGTTACATTATATCCGGATGTCAGTAAACTGTAATTTTAGAAATTGACTGGACAAAATATCCGATATCATATATTAATGTCAGATAAATTGTTTGAATGAAATTAATCAATACAATTTAAGCTATTTATGCATGTCTTTATTATTACGCACTTGTGAATGTCATTACAGCTTTCAGCACGTGTCTGTAACAAAAGCAAATATCACTCAAATTTAATGTCGATTATGTAATTTATTTAAATATCATTTAACTAACAATATAATCATCGTATGTGAGTGGGAGTTGAACTATAAACGCTGTCAACTTCTGTTGTTTTTCCTCTTGATAATGGTGCATTTAATGCATTATGCTAGATGTAATGATGTTTTATAAATGGTAACGTAACTCAGTCTCGAAATGTAAGATATGACATTATAACAATTATAGTTATTGTAATGGAGTTGTAAAGGGCATTTACAGGATTTTGAATCTACAATAGACATGTATAGTACTGATATTGTTTGACTTGTAGACGTGCATTAAGTAATCTGGTGTCCCCTGGGGGCTGGGCAGATAGGGCGATGTCTGTCGGAATCAGAGGAATGTTTGAAGTCATCCGGAGAAAGTAAATAGTTTTCTTTATCACAACCTTAATATATACATAACATTTACAGCATGAATACGTTAAGCTTAAGACTCTTATTAAGCAGATCGAGAAATATTGTAATCTAAGAAAAATTATACCACGGAAATAAATTTGTCTTGATGATTAACATCCTGGTTTCTAAAGCGCATTACCTTTATCAGGAAGTTCTCACAACTTTTAAAGTTGAGCTTGCTACCTTGAACTTGTTTACTTAACAAGAGTACAAACTACGCTTCAAAACACTTAACAATTTTGAATAAGAATATATTTTTTGCCACTTTATGCTATCCATATGTTATCTAGAAACATTTTACCGTTTGGCCTATTATCTGCCATGAGTGCCAACATAACCTCATATATTATATGCACAAACACACCCATTGAATTAATATTGATTTCATTGATACAATGTGGATGAACTTTCCACTGATGTGACTGCGTACTTGACAATGGAATAAACAATATTTCATTACGCTGCTGTAGGTGTCGTCTATGGAGACTGGATATAGATGGTACGCTTCCTAAGGACTTGGAACGAAGAGGGGTAACTTAATGTTGATTTTGATTATGTATTTGTTAATAATGTATGAGGTTGTTGTGAAGTAATCACATCTTGTAGTCAGATAGAAATACTGCGCAATGAAGCTTTAGAAAAAATACTTTATCAATTAAAATTTAACCCACAAAACTATTATTTCCCACTATACTCAGTAATAGCTACAGAAAGGTGGTTGACAGTTTAATGTAATGGTGTGATTTCTGTTTGTTTCAGTTACTTAAAGACGATGTATTACCGGGTTATTACTTTCGGGATGACGCATTGCTTGTCTACAACGCAATATACAATTATGTCGTCAACTACATTAAAATATATTATGGTAAGGAAATTCAATACTTGGTGTCTAAAGCACTTAAAAATACATACATAGTGAACAAGTGTCCTAGAGAAAACTTTGAAGTGCATCCCAGTGCACTATGGTGTTCACTCCAATACCTACAGTGTTAACTCTACTACACTGTGACGGTGACATTATCATATCATCCTTTATATATAAGGGACTTTACATAATCGTTGTTTTGTTTACATGCATTTCAGTTTTTTAAAATTCATGTTGACAGTATCTACCTAAACATTGAATTTCAACAAGTTTAACTATTCAAATATGTTTGTATTGCGCCTGATAAAAGGATGTTTAACAATAAATAAGAATTAAATGATAAATTATTCTGACAATATACAATATAACACACAAGTGAATAACATTTTTTAATACAAATTTAGAGTGAGATACAGTAGAGAAAAACAATGAATTAATATACATTGAATATCCAATACCATGAAAGGATTCACAAAACCTTGATTATATTATGAACACTTTGACTAGAGAAAAGTACACTTAACTAGTAGATATAGCTAGGAGTGCTTACAAATGTACGTCCCTAATATAGCCACAATGTTATCCGCTAAAACATGTGTCTAATATGATTACCTCTCTCTTTTCATTATGGTGTTATGGGATTTATATGCACCACATAGTATTTATATTTTACAAGAATTTTCATTAAAAAGTCTTTGTTTTGTTGCTGCTGAGTACGATTTGAATGAGGTCTACATGGATGTGGGGCAACTAGTGTGGATGATGTAGGTCATATATATGATTTTAGTGACAAATGATTACCAACAACCCCCTCCATTATCTAGGCGAGACATTTGTATAAAACAACGAACCTCACATTTGTCAGGGAGGGCAGTTTACAGTCCAAAGTATATTTCACGATGTATATGTAGGTCTGCTAAATATATTGGTTCTCTTGCATAACCATGAATGTGTAACATCCCTATGGTGATCCACACATTTCCACACAGTAGAAAGGGACAATGCTGTACTCTAGTACGGATGCTGGATCAAAACAAAGAGATCGAACTCCGTTGGATGAACACATTGATCCCTGAAATTGCTATCAACTAGATTTTCAATTATATATATATTTATATAACAGTGAAAACAGAAAAGAAAAGCAGCACAGGATACTACTCCAAATACAAAACTTTAAATTATTGGATGGGTGACACATAAGATGTTCAACCACAGATGGGTGTTAAACGTGACTTTAGTGATAGTTGAATTAACACATATGGACACAATGATTGCTGTTGCCTTGTGACCGGATGCATTCAGCAAAAGTCTAAGTGGTGTGAGGATAACACTTGTAACTATACGAGCTTTTCAGAGAAGTGTCTTTTGTGCATGAGACGACATAGTACTTGTACCGCAAAAAGATTTCATGGATAGATAAATAGAAAGGCGTAATTTCAGAGAAAATCATTGAGTGGATTGTGGTCGAATTCTATCGTGATTTACTCAAAATTTATACACTTGTGAAACAATATGTAGTGTTTATAGGTCTGTATACGAGACTTTTCTCACATATGCATAACATCACATCAAAATACGAGAATCAGAAAATTCTGCGAAAACTTCCACAACGAAGTGATGCAAAGACAAGATTACTTAGGCTGAGCCATATTTATTAACAAAAGCTTTGTGTGGATATCAAAAGAAAGAAATATCAATAAAAGTGGCTACAAACTGATATTATTGTTCAGAGGACCGCCAGGAAAAATTAAATCAATCTCCAAACTCAAATGTACAGGTATAGTAGGTGCGTTTATAGATAAAGTGAGATGTCGTGCGTGATGTGCACTTTTCGTGACGTCATAGCACAAGTATTAATGGGACGTATACATGTTTTTAGTATATACTGACCTCTTGTGGAAAAGTGATTTTCCGACTTTGGTTCGGGAACGATCATAACCGAAGGCATGTTTACAAAAAGTTCATTTCAACCACATTATACCAATACAGGCACACGATACAGTCTTGAGTATTACTTATATAAGCTGATTTTTAATATATAGATATAAATTATTTTTAGTGAAAGTTGTGTTCACTGAGGCTTTAGAACAGGATAAACACATACCAAAGTATGTAACATCTTAATACAGGTAGGAAAACTCCCCTGTCACTTTCCTTGTACGCTCCACTGCACTTGACAACCAACCTTAGTTTGCTCCCAACTGTGATGTTTTCTATAAGATACTATAGTGCCATGTTTGTACTGTGCTAAGGATATAAAGATAAAACTGCATAGATGATATACAAGCCATTTTATGAAACCCGACGACCATATAATGATAACATAAAATATTATGTCCTGCTTTTGTCCTGGTTAAGAATCAGCCGACAAGCTCGTTAGTGACACTGAACTTCAGGATTGGGCAGCGGAAACGGTATTGTCCAAGGAAAAGGGAGGCCTGGGACTTCTTGTAAGCTATACATTTTTCATTTGTACATGTGATATGTTTCCATAAAAAACGACTTGAACTATACCGTCAATATTTAATTGACACACAATTTAAAAGGTGAAATTGAAATGTGTGTTGGTATTTAATCACATCACTGAGGGAATTCGCATTCGCAAAACAAAAAGCAAAAAACGTATCCTTTTATTTTTTATACCGATCACCGCTAACTTATAACTGGTTGTATGCTTCCAAAGGGGGTTCCTGGAAATGGAAAGATTACCACTATTGACCAGTTAGCCACAATTATCACCAGCCATATATACACGTGTAGTGTAGCTCATGCTGCCGCCAATTTCCCTCAATACGACCAGTATGGTTTTCCACCGGCATACCCTGCCTCCATTAGGGGTAAGCCACCTACAGACAAGGTAAGTAATGAAAGATCGGAATTAATGTTTTTTTTTTAAATTCATGCTAGTGAAATATTCAAATTTTATTTAATTGTCAAAATTGATTGCTCAAATTTCAGTTTTTTTTAAAGACAAGTACATGTATCTTGTTTTTTTTTTTTTTTTTTTTGACTTTAATGTAATGATTATCATTGAGGGATAGTAAATTTATCCTACGTTGCAATTGTGACGTCATAAGGAAATAAATGAGATGGTGACGCCATTCATAGGCGATATACATGTATTTCGTTGCTGTATATACAATTTGATATTTCATTTGAAGTTTGATGTTTTATATGCATTTTAATGTTCTATATGAACTCTTAAAAAACGAGAAAAAAAACATGATTCAACGAGTTGAAGACATAAGTGCAATGAGATAATTTTGAATCTTTTCGGCTCGTGTAACGTAAGACTATTGAAAACCACCATAGGAAGGACATTTGAGCTGCACACCTCTTTAACATTTCATTTGAATTTGCTTCAAGACAAGTAAATTATAGTCTTCTAAGTAAGATATATGCTGTGGTTATTGTTGGGTTTTAATTGGGGATACATTTTCTCATCTATATATAATGGAAAAGGTCGTTTGTTGACATATAGTGCTTTACTGATTACGTGTCGTTTATCATGATACCAATGAAGAACAACGCTTGATATTCAGACACAGGATTGAAGACTGATAACGGTAACTTAATTCGTTCATACCTTAACAGACGCCACTTACTGAAACGGCGGTGCTTGCAGCACTTCCCGACAAGGAAACCACGCTAGACATGATGGTGGTGACTTACATTCTCAGTGAGAGGACCACTAACTGTCTAGGGAACTTTGAAGTCCAATATGTGTTTGATCCGCCAGCGTTAGCTGTAATTGAGGAGTGAGTTGTACTATTCGTTTTCAGGATGGCGACTATTAGAATTAACACGACTTTCCAGCAGTGCCATAATTAAAATAATTAAAAGGAAATCACACCTAAATATCTATATGTAGAAAGATAAAATATTCTAAAGTGATAATTTCATTCTTTTTTCACTTAAAAGAGTAGATTTCTTTCTAGTCCTTTTTATTTTTTAAATCGCAAAATCGTTCCATTTTCAGATTTAAAACTCAACTGAAGGCCATATCTCGACAAATAAGGGAAAAGAACAAGACCAGGGAACCCCCGTATCCTTGGTTAGACCCACAGGAGATTCCAAACGCCATTAGCATTTGAAGGCTTCCTTAACGGTTCTATCACAAGATTGAGAGACCTCAACTCCAAAGTGTTCAATCCCTAATTTCGTGAATTGATATGGTAACTTACCACAGATAAAGCGGGTCGTTTTACAACACACAGTCACGGTATAGAATGATTCATTCAAATGATATGACGAAGTTAAATTAGTAAAATGATATTTCACTCTCTAACTTTCCTGTGATAAGCAAATAACGCTGGCAAGTGTGATCGATTAGAATGATACATAGATAATTTTTATTATATATAGTTATCACCATGACAGGTACTGATGTTTATTCCATAAACGTTTTTATTTCAAAACTGACACAAGCTTTTCTAAATTTAAAAAATTATTGAACGATATACATGATAAACAATTGTCACCAGCTGACGAACATTTATGCATCACAGGACTATTTTCTTGCCAAAGTATCTTCTAAATGAGTCTGTGTACATTGTTCATTTATGCTGGTGATATTTTGAGTTATTTCAGCTAAGTGATGTTTTACTTAAATATTTTTAAATGGTTTCACAATAAGACTTTGAAAGAAACCAATTTATCAAATCAATAAAGAGTAAACATAAATGCGATGATTAAGAACAGATATCGAAAGTATCAGTTGACATTATGCACTCTTTAGTAATAATCTTTGTTATTGTAAAAACTATAAGTATAAAATTCTTAATAATTCACCTTAAAACTGTTTACGACCATCAACAATTTATCCTTACTGTCGGTGAATTATATTTAATGCAAAATTGTTGACAAACATTGAATAAAACAACTATTGTGCACCTTTAAATGGTCTTTTTATGTCAGATTTTAGAAGGTAAGGAGTGTGCTACGTAACGTATGTGTGTAATTAAATGGAAACAGAATATAATGTTTTCGTTTTTCATTTTATTTTATTATTTTTCCTAGAATGGAATAAATCGCAAAAATAGCCATCTTAAAAGTGAAAGAAAATAGTGACTCGTAACTGTCTCGTTAGTTTTTTATTATTATTAATGAGAAAAAAAATATCCTTGATACTTTAAGCTTTAGGTAAAACTGCTAAGATGTGAATAACTGAAAAAATATTTCTTTACAGTATCTATGTAAGTGATATCAGGACGAACTATATAATGATCTGATACGTATCTTAACATAGGTCGCGTAGAACGAATGTGATAGAGTGTTACGTATGTACGGAATTCCTGTGAACAAAGTTATGATCCAAATTATGTAGAAACAAAACGAAATACCACTAAGGTTTTATTGTAATGTTGGGATACAATACCAGGTAAACTAACATGTTGACAACACTGGACACAAGGCAGAGATATTTACAGAAAATCAGGGGACGCGGGGAGGCGAAATGTAAATAAACTATAACATATCTGATCCGTACACTAATACTAATACTAACACAAATATTAAACATAAATATGTCCACGGAACCATGAACACACCATAGGCCTAAATCTAAGCATATTTAAAGGTACCTTGGATATGATTAATTTATTACATGCATATGGTGAGGACTTAGTGATCTAGTAGTAAATACTATCATCTCCATCACCTACACAGGGCGGTCCCATGTACTGGCCGCAGGTAGGCGTTTTTTCTCCGGGAACTCGGGAACTCGGCTTTCCTCCACCGGCCAAACCTCCCATGTCCTTGAATGACATTGACTGTTCGAACCAATTATGATGATGGTTTTTCGCCTCTCTGACTCTGCCCGTTGCCGCATTCAAACCAATGTATGCACTCCCCATTTAGAGCCAGACATCACGTGACACCCAACCCGGCATCCGTCTTACAATACACGGACTTGCTATCGATCTGTTTTACGATTTCATGGAGTAAAACTACTCACTGAATTTTGCCATGATAATCAATTACAACCGGTGAGACTTGGTTAGCGAGATCAGTGCATGAATAAGCTTTTCGCTTATAAATTAGCTTTCATTTCAATGACAGTCTTTAGAGTTATGTCCCATTATGGTATTTAATACATAAAGTTCTATAAACACCTGGCCCAGACTGACACCTGCTAACCAACATCTGATCGCGTCACCTTATCAACCAACGCCTACTTGGTGCAGTCGTAAGTTTTGCAAGATAACAGTTTTGTTGTGTAAGCGCACACTGCTACATTATCTATATTGCAAGATACCCGAGGCCTGAATAATGAGGTCTAAACCACATATAACTTATTCTAGTTCAGATACATGATCTTTTTGTCAGTACCATAAATTTAATCCCGCCGGTGACGCTTGCTCCACACACTATATTCGTCAGTTTAATTACCGCTGTATTTTCTAAAACAACGATTTAGGTAAAAGAGGTTGCTAAGTTTCTATATGTCAGTAACAGCTCATGCCTATTATGGACAAAAGTGTACTCTTGTTACCATGCACATTCTTATTGTTGGTTAAACATGTATAATACAAAATAAATATTAGTGTTTTTTAATGCTACCATTGTAAATATAACCTGTCTACCCCTTCCCCCTTCCGACAAAAAAAGGCAAAACAAAATGTTTCAGACACGTTACAGGTTTTCATAATACCACATGACTGTGAATATCACCATTGAATACATTCGAAGTAATTCTCAAAATGTACAAAATCAAAATGGAATAAAAGTATTTCCCCCAGCGAATCTGTCGTACACTATGTTCCTAAACATATACTATTCTCACACACACATATAATTGTATCTTGTTGTCTACATGGTTTGATACCAACATTTGCATAACTACAAGATTATATGTAACAAGGACTTTTAAATTATGTATCATGACAATAGCAAATAAAGTTAATTAAGGATACTCGCCTCATCACAAAAATGTGTTAAAAAAATATACTCTTAATTGAATTAATAATGGTTTCTTGACTGCGGCAAAGGCTGCTAAATAAAATATCAAAAAAATATTAGACAGCTGACAAATAGCTTATGATAGTCTTCTCCAAAGATTAATGGTCAAAATGTCTAAAGCATACAACGTACACACACGCGCACACACCCTCTCTCTCTCTCTCTCTCTCTCTCTCTCTCTCTCTCTCTCTCTCTCTCTCTCTCTCTCTCTCTCTCTCTCTCTCTCTCTCTCTCTCTCTCTCTCACACACACACACACACACACACACACACACACACACACATATATATAAATACATATAGACATCCTTTTTCGTGGGTGTCGGGGTGGTGTAGTTGGTTAAACTGTTATCAGATTTATTGACTACGCGATTTGGTGATTTAGATCGAAGTAGTTCGAATCCCAAATAGGGCACGAGTAAAATATTTTCTTCCTTCGTCAGTTGTGTTTTCATGTTGAAATATAAGTTAATTTAAATTTCCTGTCGAAATTGTACGTGTGTTTGATACACAAAATCCTTCGCTTAACTATTGACTATGTGTGAACTTTATCAAGGTCATTACTTTGTGGACAGATAGTATTTACCAATGTGCCATTTCAGAGGGTATTTTATATAGATATTGATTCAACAATTAACAAGTGATAGTGTACCTAAATAACATAATCATTTACTAACTCTGTTATACTGTTATATTCCTTGTTAAGAAACAAGAAATGTGTTCATCGCGCCTTATTACTTCAAATATACAGAACAACAGCCTCACTGAATCGGATGTATCTTTTTTAATTTCGGCATAGAGATAAGATTTACAATAGACCAACAGGATATTACCGACAAAGTTCTGTGTAGATAGAGTTTATCGGTGCTTGAGTAGTGAGTCACATTTCAACACAATATATATCTAAATCGATTCTCCATTTGCCCTGTGTCTGACAGCAACAACAACATTCAGTCACACTATTTGTTTATAATATGATTCTTCCTCGTTGTCCTCATTGCAAGCATTTAGACCCACAGTGTTACTGAATCAGCTGTATCTACATCCTAACTCACTCACTCAGGTATACAGACCCAAAGTGTTACTGAATCAGCCTTACCCCAGCCTAACTCACTCAGATATACAGACCCAAAGCCTAACTCACTCAGGTATACAGACCCACAGTGTTAATGAATCAGCTGTACTTACATCCTAACTCACTCAGGTATACAGACCCACAGTATTACAGCAATAGGGATAAAGACCCATAGCCTATGTCAGTATACAGACTAAGGTATACAAGGTATACAGGCCAATAGCCTAAGTCACTCAGGTATACAGACCCATAGCCTAAGTCACTTAGGTATACAGACCCATACCCTATGTCAATAAGGTATAAAGACCCATAGCCTAAGTCACTAAGGTATACAGACCCATAGCCTTAGTCACTCAGGTATACAGACCCATAGCCTAAGTCACTAAGGTATACAGACCCATAGCCTTAGTCACTCAGGTATACAGACCCATAGCCTAAGTCACTCAGGTATACAGACCCATAGCCTAAGTCACTAAGGTATACAGACCCATAGTTTAAGTCACTCAGGTAAACAAGCCCATAGCCAAAGTCACTCAGGTATACAGGCCAATAGCCAAAGTCACTCAGGTATGCAGACTCATAGCCTAAGTCACTCAAGTATACAGACCCACAGTGTTAATGAATCAGCTGTACCTACATCCTAACTCACTCAGGTATACAGACCCACAATATGACAGCAATAGGGATACAGACCCATAACCTTAGTCACTAAGATATACAGACCCATAACCTTAGTCACTAAGATATACAGACCCATAGCCTGAGTCACTAAGGTATACAGGCCCATAGCTTAAGTCACTCAGGTAAACAAGCCCATAGCCAAAGTCACTCAGGTATACTAAGTCACTCAGGTATACAGGCCCATGGCCTTAGTCACTCTGGTATACAGGCCCATGGCCTTAGTCACTCTGGTATACAGGCCCATAGCCTAAGTCACTCAGGTATACAGACCCATAGCCTAAGTCACTCTGGTATACAGGCCCGTAACCTAAGTCACTCAAGTATACAGGCCCATGGCCTTAGTCACTCCGGTATACAGGCCCATGGCCTTAGTCACTCT